ATAAAAACATAGAGGAGAAAAAGCTCATTATTTCCCTTTGGAGGATGTCAAGGAACCCAGCAATTATTTTGAAAATCAGGAAAGAAAAAAGGCAAGCGTTTATCTTGCCTTTGCCATGTGAATTGTACCACTGGGCAACCAACTGGTAGATGAGAGGGTGTTTCTCTTTCTGGAGGTATTCCAGCTAATCAATGAAGAAGGAATACATCATTCCAATAGCACTCTGTCGTAGCTGCTAATGAATGAATATATCCAGGCAGTGATCATCAACGGTAGATAGCATCACAGAAGAGAGACAGTGAGTGGCAATTATAGAAGAAATAAGATGGCTCCTGGGTTGACACATATCAACTGGATGATGGATGTCCATGGGACTTCGTTATATAATTCTCTCTACTTTTCCATATATTTTAAATCTTCTGTTTAGAAAATAACGTTTAAAGCCCTTTGCCCTGTGTCATTCTCTCAAAGCAGGATGAAGACAAGTAAGAGGCTGTGGGTGCTCGGTAAGTATTTCCCAAGGAGCACCGACATCTGGCCTCATTTCCCCCACGCTCATTCTTGGCCTCTAGCACACCACCGAGGGCTGACCTCACAATCTCACTAGGACAGCCAGTGTCCTAGGTTACAAAACTCCCTCCCCTCCAGTGCCAGGAGCAGGTGTCTTAGCTGAAATCTCACCTCTACCCTCCCAGAAAGACAGTACTGCAGTCATCCTGCCGGCCGGGACTGTGCAGCGGCCCCAGCTGGAGGCCGCAAGGTCAACGGCCTGCACTACGACTTGCTTCTCCCTTTGGTGAAATGGGACTCAACCAGTTCTGGGCCCGGCCTGGCCTGGCTTTAATGATCTGGCTGCGGTTCCAGACCAGCTGGTGGCCCAGCCCTAAGGCCCAGCTGGCTGCTGGGGGCCTGGGCCCAGCAGGGAGACTTGTCTTGGACAAGTGGCCCAGATGCAGAAATAATGCATGACTGTGAGCTAGATTCATCCAGGACGTGGGAGTCTGGCCGTAACAGAATATCCTGTGGGCTGAGCCTCTGCTGGGGAGGCTGAGGCAGGTGGGTGGATGGGCAGGAACAACTCTGTACTCATCGGATGCTTTCCACACGCTAGCAGAGTCCTAAGTGCTTTCCGCGCATCCCCTCATCTAACACTCACAATAACCCAGCAAGGTTGGGACTATTCTCCCATTTTAGAGATAGACAAAATGAGGGGTAGAGATTAAGCCACTTGCTCCAGCTAGTAAGCAACAGAGTGAGAATTTGAATTCGAGTGGGCTGGCTCGGCAAACTTTGTTAAAAATCCACACGGATCCAAAGGAAATGAAATCACTATCCTAAAGAGATATATGCACCCTCATGTTCATTGCAGCATTATTCACAATAGCCAAGACACGGAGACAGCCTAAGAGTCCCTCAGTGGATGAATGGATAAAGAAAATGTGGTGTATATATAAAATGGAATATTATTAAACCACAAAAAAGGAGATCCTGCCATTTGTGACAACACGAACGAAAGCTGAGGGCATTTGCTAAGTGAAATAAGTCAGACAGAGATAGACAAGTACTGTACGATCTCACTTACATGTGGAATCTAAAAAAAAATGAACTCATGGAAATAGAGCAGAACGGTGGTTGCCTGAGGCTGGGCTGGGGGAAATGGGGAGACACGGGTCAAAGGGTACAAACTTCTAGTTACAAGATGACTAACTTCCAGGCATCTAATGTACACCATGGTGACTATAGTTAACAACACTTTATTATATACTTGACTGTTGCTAAGAGAGTAGATCTTCAAAGTTCTTGGGGCTGGCCCCATGGCTGAGTGATTAAGTTTGCACGCTCCACTTCGGTGGCCCAGGGTTTCGGTGGTTCAAATCCTGAGTGCGGACATGGCACCACTCATTAGGCCACGCTGAGGCAGCGTCCCACATGCCACAGCTAGAAGGACTCACAACTAAAAATATACAATTATGTACCAGGGGGCTTTGGGGAGAAAAAGGAAAAAAAATAAATCTTTTAAACAAAAAGTTCTCAACAGGAAGAAAAAAATGGTAACTATGTGAGGTGATATTAACCAACATTGATCTGATAAACATTTTGCAATCTTTACATATATTAAATTGTCACGTTGCACACCTTAAACTTACACAACGTTATATGTCAGTTACAGCTCAATAAAGCTGGGGAGGTGGAAGCCACATGTTTTCAGCTTTGCAGACCAGCTGGTCTCTGTCACAATGACTCAGCTCTGCCATTGCAGCATAAAAGCGGTCATAGACAACATGGAAACGAACGAGAGAGAATGTGTTCCAACAAGCCTTCACTTTCCACAAACTGTGGTCCATCCACACAATGGAGTATTACTCAGCCATGGAAAGGGCTGAAGCCCTGACACACGTTACAACGTGGACGAACCTTGGCACCCTCACACTGAGTGAGAGGAGCCAGACCCAGAAGGCCACACGGTGTGTGATCCCATTCATACGAAACGTACAGAACAGGCAAATCCACAGACAGAAAGCAGCTTAGTGCTACCAGGGGCTGGGGGCGGGGGGATGGGGAGTGATTGCTCATGGGGATGGGGTCTCCTTCTGGGGTGATGGACATTTTCTAGAACTAGAGGTGATGGTTGCACAAGATTGTAAATGTACGAAACGCCACAAATTGTGTACATTTTTAAATGGTTCATTTTATGTTAGGTGAATTTCACCTCGGAAAAAAACAAAAAAAGAGAAAACATTATTTACAGAAACAGACAGCTGGCCCAGAGGCTATAGTTTGCCGACCCCCGCTTTAGGACATCACTTAACAAAACCCAGAACTGAATTTTAAAAACTTGTAGGCATACCAAATCTTAGCTCAAAGCCCTGCATGCAGCAGTTTTTATTATTCCATCAGGATCTTCGTGGCTATTAAAGTGATGGCTACCAAAGTGAAGATTATTCAGCCCTGAGTTCCTCCTCCTCTGGCCTCTGGCCTTGATCCCAGCCTCTCTTCAGATCCAGGGCCCTGGGCTCTGCCTGTCTGTGCCAGTGCTGTCTCCATCAGAGCCAGCACCAGGCCCTGGCCAGTGGGTCCTTTCATGAGGCCACCGGCTTGTCTGCAGCCTGGAGGGGCCTTGACCTACGCTGGGAGGTGGGCCTCTGGAGGCGGGAGAGAAGCAGGGATAGCAGGGTGACTCATCACGGGAACCCCAGCCTCTCTGCTGCCTCCCAGCACAGCCCAGACCAGGTGCCTCGTGTGTGGGCGCCTGCTGGTGTCTTTCAGAGCCCGACCCCAAAGTGACCTCACTTCCTCAATCAGGCCTTTCATGCACTCAGCGATCCCTTCCTGACATTGACCCAGGGCGTTTCTGGGCACCCCAAGAGGGCTCAGCATCTCGTAGTCTAGGGGAGACAAAACCAGACAGAGAAACTCCAGGCCTTGCATGGACAGGTCTAGGTCAAAGGGAGGAACCCCGGGGTCAGGGAGCCAGGATGGAGAAAGGGAGGAGCCAGGGGTAATCAGGGAGGCTCCCTGGGGGCAGGGTCCTACTCCAGAAGGTCACAAATCCCAGATACACCCTAAGGAAATGCCAACTGGCCATGACATGTCCCTGGCTCAAACACAACCCAGCTCCTGCCACCAACTCCAAGCTCTAAAAGGCTGCCCATCTGGCTGGCTCACGAATTCCTGGGTGTGAAGTCGCTCTGCAGCTAGTCCCCAAACACTTCAGCAGTGCAAAGGGTCATCATTACTGTGACCCTGACCCAGTTGCCGGATAGTGGAAACATGCACTAGGCTTGGAGCTATGTCCAAGGTTCTAGCTACGTGACCTCAGGCAAGTCACTTCACCTCTCTGAGCTCACCCTCCTGCTGGGTAAAATGGGCATTTATAACTGGCTGATAAATAAATCTGCGAGGGTCCCCCACAGCCACAACTAGGGGAGAATCAGAGGGACAAACCCAGGGTCCATGATGCTGAACCATGGTCATCCCTAGACATCAGGCAGGCATCTCATGCGACAGCCACGGCTCAGCATCCCGGGGGCTCCCCCTGTGGACACAGGGCCGAGACAAGGGTAAGGCAAGCAAGGCGCAAAGACAGGATCAGAGTTCCCAAGGTTTCCTTTCACCTCTGGCTCTAATATATCTTGTCACAGTGCTGTTCCCCATCTTGTCTTTATCCAAAATGTTGACATTTCGTTCATGGATTTTTTGCATTTGCTTTTTAGTTTTTTAAAACATTGCATTGAAGGGCCAGCCCGGTGGCGCAGCGGTTAAGTTCGTGTGCTCTGCTTCGGTGGCCTGGGGTTTGCAGGTTCAGATCCCGGGCACTGACCTACACAGCGCTCATCAAGTCATGCTGTGGCAGCATCCCACGTACAAAATAGAGGAGGACTGGCACGGATGTTAACTCAGCAACAGTCTTCCTCACCAAAAATAAAAACACAAAACCACCACCACACTGCATTGAAATATTATCTTGATAGCAAGATTTTCAGCACCACCTTAAATCTTGCACCTGAGGCATGTACCTCCTTCTCCTCACTCTAGTCCTCACCCCATGGACACACAGCCCACATCCTCCACTGGGCAGAGCCCCATCCCCGAATCCTCAGAAGTTGGCACTTGGAGGAGCGTATTTCCTCAGATTCTCCTGGGAACTGGATTCCCCTCCCTCCCTCTGCCCCCACTGTGCGCCCAGCTTTGTGCTGGGCCATGCTGGGTGCCCCGAGAGGACACCTGACACCTGAGCAGGCTTCCTGGGGAACCCCAGGCCTGGCTCAGGCCCGTCCAGGCCCGCCCCGTGCTGAGCGCCTGGCCCGGTGGGTTTCCTGGAAACTCCCCAGGCTAGTTTCGGGGTGGGAGGCTCACAGGGAAGCAATTTACACAGCAGCCCCAGCCGTGTCCCACCCGACGCTGGAATAAAGAGGAGGCAGGCTCCCTTCTGCGGGACTCGGCCACAGGCACCTGAGAACAGGGAGGACCCCTCACTGCCAGCCCAGGTGAGCCCAGAGCCAGCTCCCACGACACAGCAGCTCCCGAGTGCCCCACCCAGGCCCTGCTCTCAGCTTGCCTCTGGGGGCTTGGGGTCGGGAGCTGGAACTGGATGAGTGGGGCCGTCTCCAAGCCCCTGTGGCTCAGTGCAGCCTCAGCAAAAACTGTCCTCGGCCCCTGCACCCATTCTCTGCCTGAGCCTCCAGTGCTGGCAGCAAAGAAGGCAGGAGGCTGCCAACCTCAGGCCGCTCCTTCTCTCCCCTCCCAGCACAGCCGGTCTTACCAGTCGTGCAGGCACCTGAGCACCCCCTCTGGTGGCAGCAGCAGCTAAAGACTGTCTCTGAAGGAAGGGGCTAGAACTCGCTGGACTGGCCTCAGTCTCCCTCTCTCGGGAACGGCCAGAGTTTGCTGGAGTCTGATCTACCCAGCCTCCAGGCCTCTCTTGGGATGGGCCTGGCTTACTGACCCTTGACCTCAGCCTGGGAGGGAGCAGATAGGATGAAGGACCTTCTGAGACCCAGATGACATTGACCCAGGGCATGGCCTCCCGCCCACAGCTCTGAAAGGGGTGCAGTGTCATTCACCGCTGGACTTCGGCAGTACCCAAAGGCACTGCTCAGTCTCCAGGCCTGTCTCCTTCCAGCTCTGCCGAGGTCTCCGCTGAGGTCAGCCGGCTGCGTCCTCCGGAAGCTGGAACCCCCAATGGCGGCCCAGGGTGTCCTCTGGGTCCTGCTCGGACTGCTCCTACGGCTGGAGCCAGGAACAGGTGGGTCAGAAGGCAGAGGCCTGGGCCCAGGACTCTCAGTCCTGCAGGGGTGTGCTGCTGCCCCCTCTGTGTCCAGCCCTACACAGGGTGAGGCCGAGACCCCAGGAGGCCCCAGTCTCAAGGAACCTCCAGCCTGGGGACAGAGAGGCTCCCTACCCCACAGGGTCAGGGCAGGGCTTGGGGGAAGGACTTAGGGACAGAAAAGCACAAATCGAGAAGGCTTTCTAGAGGAGAGGACATAGATGTAGCACAGGAAGGAGAATTTTACTTGGTGGAGAAACAGGAAAGGACGTTTTAGGCAGAGAGAAGAGCAAAGTTCAGGGGAATTCCAGTGTGGACTGTCTGGAGAAGAGCCTGGATTCTAAACAGCAGAGGGTAAGGATGAAGCCTTCTTGGATTCACATCCTGCCTCTGCCACTTCCTAGCTGTGTGACCTTAGGCAGGTAATTTAACCTCTCTGTGCTCATAGGGCTGCTGTGACGATTACGTGAGTTTAGTTACACGAGTTGCCTCGAACGGGGTCTGGCACATGGTAAACGTTTGACAATCGTTAGCTATTATTCAACGACCCACCCCAGCTGGGCCCAGCCCTCGTAGGTTCCAGGTTCAACTGCTGACATCTCCCCACAAGGCACAGGCACACCTTCTCCTCCCCGGGCATCCTTCGAGATACCTTTCCTCCTAAAATCCCCCAAAGTCCAACCCATCATGAAAAACTATCTTTCCTTCAAAATACCTGTGGACTCTGTCCACTTTTGTCCGTCACACTGCCACCACTCTAGCTTTGGCCTCCCCCATCACTCCCCTCCACACTGTCTCCCCTGCTCTGCTCTAGCCCCCTCAAAATCCATTCTGCACACGGCAGCCCAAGGAGCAATCCTAGAACACCAGCCTGGCCGCATCTGTCTCCTGCTCACGAACCTGCTATGGCTCCCCAGTGCTCACTGACAGGCTAAGCTCCTTAACCTGTTGTCTGTGCCTCAGTTTCATCATCTACACAAGGACGGTGTTGGGAGTCACAGGATTGTCAGATGGAGGGCTGGGGGCATTGAGAAGATGTGGAAACAGCAGGGAGAGGCTCAGGCACAGGGGGTGCCGGGAGCACTGGGCTAACACCTTCCCTGCTCCTGCAGCGACCCTGCCCCTGGTCATGGACTCCGTCATCCAGGCCCTGGCTGAGCTGGAGCAGAAGGCGCCAGCCACTGAGGCCAGCCACACTGCCTCTGCGTGGCTACTGACAGCCCAGGACTCAGGCCCCCACGACGCCCTCCACCACTTCCTGCTGGAGGGGCGACGTCTCAAGGCCATGGAGCTGGACCCCCCTCCACTGAGCCCAGAGCTGCGAGGCCTGGCCAAGGAGGTGGCCCGACACGGCGTGCGGGACGGGCAGGAACACGGGGTGGTGCTGGCACCTGACGGCTCGACCGTGGCTGTGCAGCCTCTGCTGGCGGGGCTGGAGGCAGGGTTGCAGGGGCGACGGGCTGTCAGCTTGCCCTTGGAGAGCACGGCCACCCCTCCAGATGCCAGAGGCCCCTCTCCAGCTGCTGGAGGCTCAGTTCCTGATGTCAGAGTCCCCTCCCCAGGATGCAGGGATGCCTCTGCAGACGTCACCTCTACAGATGCCAGAGCCGCGTTCCCAAACGCAAGAGCCGCAGACCTAGGCATCACAGCCACCTCTCCAGATGTTAGACCTGGCTCTCCAGATGTCCCAGCCTCCTCACCAGGTGCCAAAGCCGAGTCCCCAACTATTGTGGACAGCCTCCTGGTGGTCACCCTGGCCAAAGACCTGGGCCTGACCTTCCTCCAGGGCCCCCAGACCCAGAGCCACCCAGGCCTGGGAAGTGAGGGCTGCTGGGACCAGCTCTCTGCCCCCCGGGCCTTCACGCTCCTGGACCCCCAGGCATCGCCACTCACCACGGCCTTCCTCAACGGTGCCCTGGACGGGGCTCTCCTTGGAGACTACCTGAGCCGGGCCTCTGAGCCCCGGCCACCCCTCAGCCGCCTGCTGAGCCAATACTATGGAGCTGGGGTAGCAGGAGACCCAGGGTTCCGCAGCAACTTCCGACGGCAGAACGGAGGGGCTCTGATTTCAGTCCCCACCCTGACCCAACAGGTGTGGGGGGCCCTCATCCTGCTACAGAGACTGGAGCCAGCACACCCTCAGCTGCAGGGCCTGAGCCCAGAACAGCTGGTGCAGGTGGCCACCCACGCTTCCACAGAGTTCACGGAGGCCTTCCTGGGTGAGAAGGGTCCCCACCCACTGCGACCTTCCCTCTCACAGACCCACTCAGCCCCACGTGGTTAGGACTCGGGGCTTCCAGAGGGGGCAATGAGGACTCTGACTGGGGCGGGGAGGGGGGTGGCCAGGAGAGCTGCACAGGTGAGGAAAGGCTAGAGTTGGGTCTTGAAGAATGAATAGGCGTTTGCCTGACAAAAAAAAGTGAGGACAAGACCGTTGCAGGATTCCAGGAGGGGGGCTCAGTACATGCAAAGGCACAGAGGTTCTAGTGGAAGTTCAGCCAGTTACTCCTGTGCATCCCTAGGTGAGTTGCTTCACTTCTCTGAACCTCACTTTCTTCAGTGAAGCTGGGTAAATCATTGCTTCCTCTTGGATTCACTGGATGGTTTAAGATAGATGAAGCACGTCAAGCAAGTGGCACGCAGTCGGAGCGCAATAAATGGGGCTGAGGTTCCTCTTTTCTCAGGGTGGCTCTCCGCCCTAGGGCTCCGAGCAGGGCCAGCCTTGGGTCCTGGGTTGTAAACAGCTTGAAGTCTGAGCTAAAATTCTTGGGGTTTATCCTGAAGGTGACAGGAGTCGTAGCGGATATTCCAACAGGACTGGAATGCTGTTAAATTTAGTTACGTGAGATTCCAGTGGGGCCAGCGTGGTGTGAGATTGAACTGTCCCCAAATCTGGGAGGCGGCTGCGGGGTGATCCATACGCGCGCTCCAATGGGGGTGCAGGCGGCCAGCAGAGAATCGCTGGCTGACCGCAGCTCCGGACTCCCTTCCCGGCAGGGTGCCCGGCCATCCACCCGCGCTGCCGCTGGGGCGCGGCGCCGTACCAGGGCCGCCCGACGCCGCTGCAGCTGCCGCTCGGGTTCCTGTACGTGCACCACACGTACGTGCCGGCGCCCCCCTGCACCGCCTTCGAGCACTGCGCCCGCAACATGCGCTCCATGCAGCGCTTCCACCAGGACACGCGCGGCTGGGGAGACATCGGCTACAGGCAAGCGGCGTACAGCGGCTGGGGCGGGGGCGGGGCGAGGGGCAGGGGCGGGGGGGGGGCGGGGGCGGGGGAGGGGCCTGATGCAGGGGGCGGTGCTCCGAGTAGAGCTAACCTGCGCCACCTGGGAGTTCGGGAGGGGTGGGGCCGGGTGGAGAGGGGGCGTGGCCGGGGCAGGGTCGAGGCCTTCGCAGGGACCAGAACCAGCTCAACAGTGGGACTCTTGGGTTTAGGGTGGGAACTAGGAAAGGAGGCGGGACTTGGAGAGGAACAGGACCTGTGGTAGGGTCTGGGAGTAGGACCGAGGACGGAAAAGGACTCTGCAGCGCCCAGGAGGCGTACTTGAGACAACGAGGAGGGCGTGGCCAAGGCTGAGGGCCGGATCCAGAGAAACGGGTGGCGCTCGGTGGGGGCGTGGGACGAGGCTGGACGGGGCAGGGCCAGCGCGACCCGGCGGGACTTGGGGTGGGGTGCCCTCGGCACAGGAGCGGAATCTGGGGTACGGGCCAGGTGAGGGGCGGGGCCTGGCTGACGCCGCCCGGGGCCTGCTCCCCCTCCCTCCGCAGTTTCGTGGTGGGCTCGGACGGCTACGTGTACGAGGGCCGCGGCTGGCACTGGGTGGGCGCGCACACGCGCGGTCACAACTCCCGCGGCTTCGGCGTGGCCTTCGTGGGCAACTACACGGCCGAGCTGCCCACCGAGACCGCGCTGCGCACCGTGCGCGACGTGCTCCCGCGCTGCGCGGTGCGCGCCGGCCTCCTCCGGCCGAGCTACCGGCTGCTCGGCCACCGCCAGCTCGTGCCACCACCTGCCCCGGCGACGCGCTCTTCGACCTGCTGCGCACCTGGCCGCGCTTCGACGCGGTGAGTGCCGGACGCCCGCGCACCGCCGGCCGGCGGGCCCTGACCCTTCCTGTAGCCCCGGTGCCCCCACAGCCTCAGCAGGGCCTCTGATGCCCCTCACGGCCCGGCTATTCAGGCAACCCAGGCCCAGACTTCAGTCGTTCCGCTCACAACATCCCCTACTCGCTGTCCTCTGCCTGCACAACCTCGGCCCAGCCCCTCACCCAGCCAGCTTGTCCTTTGCCCAGTCCCAAGCACCTCTGCCCTGCCAACCAAGGCGTGGACCCTGACCCTGCAGCAGTCCCTATGCCCTCACACCCTCAGCCTGGCCTGCATCACCCATAGCCAAGTCACGACCCTTCAGCCTGCACAACCTAGTCCCAGCCCACCCAACCTTGGCCTCACCCCTGCCCCCTACCCAAAGGCCCTATGTCCACACAACGCTAACCTAGCCCATTACCCTCTACAGAAAACCCGTCTGCCTGCACAACCTCTGTCCAGTCCCTAACCCTGTGTTGCAACCCTCTGCCCAGACAATCTCAGTCCTGAAGATGCTTGCTCAACCCTAGCCTCCCTGACTCCTCATGACAACTCTGATGCTGGAGCAATCTAGGCCCAGCCAGCACAACCTCGGCCTGATGACCCCACCCCAGCCCCTGACCTTGATCACCAAACACCTCTCTAATCACTCTGCACAATCTCATGCAGTGTTGTACCCACCCCCTCACTTTAGGCTCCTGTCCTCTTCCCAGTCCAGGGTCCCTTCACAAGGAGGACAGACCCAGCACCACCCGCAAGCCTCACACTCCCTTGTCTTTCTAGAATGTGAAACCAAGAACTGCCAGGAGGGCTTCCAGGAGAGGACCCCCCGCCATGATCCTGCCAGCCACAGACCTCCAATAAAGGGACCATGGAAAGAAAGCCCGTGTCCATGCACCATGTGTTTGCATGTGTTGTCTTAGTTTGGGTTTGCCCGGAGGCACACCCTGAGACAAGAATTCCAGGGCAAGTAGTTTAGGAGGCGATCCCAGGACATGTCAGTTGGGGAATGAGGAGGAGAGGTGGGGAAAGGAAGGCAGCCAGGAATGGGTGCTTTATCCAGCGGGTTGGCACTGGGAGCACATGCAGCTCAATTCCACGGAGGAGCTCTGGGGACAATGTGGGACACAACCCCAGGATCATCCCACGCAAGGAGCGAGGGAGCTGGGGTGTTGATCCCCCGACTCCCATAGTCATTGGCTGAGGGCTTTCTCAGGGCAGTGTTAATTCTCTGGCCTCTAAGCTGCGTGTTGCATAAGCAGAGGACACGGTCTGTCCGGGAAAGCCCTCTAGCAAAAACTCAGGGCGTTGGGAATGGGGCGAGGACACAGTGAGGTGGTGAGGACTCAGGGATGCGCTGAAGGCGGGGAGACGACCCGTGTGTGTAGGGAGCAGCCAGAGTGCGAAATGAGTGAGGTGGGCATACACAAGCTGTGTGCACCTGCTGGACATGTCCAGCTCCAGGAGAAACGTCTTTGGCCCTCAGTGAAGACCCTCCTCCTCTGGATGGGTTATAGAATTTGCAAGGCCCAGTGCAAAATGAAAATGCGGGGGCCTCATTCAAAAGGCAGACTTTGAGATGGCAACAGCATCTGTGCAGTGCGGAGCCCTTCTGAATATGGGGTCCTGGGTGACTGCACAGGCCACACGCTTGTCAGGCCAGTCCTACCCCCAACCCCAGGGGTTCATGGGTTCTGGTTGCCCTGGCTTTTGCACAAACTGCCCCTTCTACCTGGCATGGTCTTCCCATGGCCAGCTCCTTCTCATGCTTCAGGTCATAAATGTCACCTCCTGAGGGAGGTCCTCCTGGATTTCTCCAGCTCAGAAAGCACTGCTTCTGCTCAGCCACTACTCCAATCTATCTATTTTCTTCGAAGTCCTCCTCACCAACTAGAAATATCCTGTCTTCATGTTCAGGGTCTGTCTCTCCCACTGGACTGTGAGCTCCAGGAGGACAGAAACTGTTTCTTTAGTTCCCCATGGCTTCTCCAGCACCTAGCACGTAGCAGGCACTCGGGAAACCTTTGTTGAATAAACAAAAGTTCCCATTATAAACCTGCTGAAACTGATATTATCTTTTTGTACAAATACGGAAACCAAGGCTCAGAGAGAGGAAGTGACTTGCCTGAGGTCACACAGCAAGAGAAGGACCAGCTGGCACTTGAATCCACACCTGGGCCAGGATTCTGCTGCCTCTCAAGCTGACTCACTTATTCCCCAGAACAGTATTTGTCCTCCTCTTCTTCCAAGTAAACATTTATCAGGAAATTGCACCAAAATGCACAGCATTTTGAATTTCACAACAGATCCCACCCATGCAGCGCCAGTGCCCAGCTTCAGAACATGTTACGTTTATATTACGTAGGTAAATCAGTCTTTGTGAGGCCTTTGTCAGTTAGAACTGAGCATGTCCAGAAATTCAGCTGTTAGCTCACTACCGAAGAGACAGGCTCTCGGGAGCTGCTCATTAGAAGCTGACGGAGAACCCAGAGGTTCAGTCTGTTAACTTACAATCAAGGACACTCAGCAAGCAAAAATAAATCAAGAAATAAATTTATGCTATGTGAATTTCACCTCAAGTTAAAAAAAACCACCCCCTTGGTCAGCTCCCAGGAGCCTCCCCAGTGCTCGCCACTCCCCCCTGCCCCCGTGCAAGCCCTCCTCGGCCAGCCTGTGTCCTGACTTGCTCCATGCAGTCTGCCTGCTTGGGCACTTCATCGAAACAGAACTACACAGTGTGTACTCGTCACTGTTTGGTTTTTGCTCAGCATTGTCCCTCGAGTCCAGTCATTCAGCAGTTTGTTGCTTCCCATTGCTGCGTGGTATTCCACTGTGGGAAGAGACCACAGCTGATCCATTCTACGGTAGAGGGACACTTGGGTTGTTTCCAGTTTGGGGCTGTTACAAATAGCGCCAGTGGGCCTGTCTATTGGGCATACACACCTGGCGGTGGAGCTGCAGGATCACAGGAGAGCTGTATAGTCAGTATTCATGGGTCATACCAAACAGTTTTCCAACTTGGGTGAATCGATCTACACTCTGACCGGCAGTGGATGAGAGTTCCAAGTACTCAGTCTTCACAACAGCATTTGGTCAGCATGTGCCCATTTTGCAGAGAAGGCAACTGAGGCTCAGAGAGGGGACTGTGGGTCGTCCTGGTCAGTGAGAGATTCTGGGTCCTGCTCTGTCACCTCCTCTCCTCCCGCATCCTGCCCCCACGTGCCCTCCCAGCCTGGCCATGGGGTGGGGTGGGACAGACAGGGTCACGTGGAGTTGCGTTTCGCGGAGGAAGCCAGGCAGGGTGCAGACGGCTGCTGATTCTGGGGCTGGTCAGGAAATCAAGGTAAGAGAAGGAGTGTGTGTCGCCCCTGAGGGGGCTCCCTGGGGGTAGGGCTGAGAGGGGGAAGGGGCCCAAGGTGAGGGGAGCATGTGGGCAGACACACGGCAGAACTGTCACCTCTCATCCCCCAGGAGAAGCCCCGTCATGGACCCACCGTCGCTGAGCCAGGCCTCCCAAGCCCAGTGTGCAGCCCCAGCACCACTGACCTCCTACCGCTGGCACACAGGGGGCGGTGGGGACAAGGGGGCTGGTGGGTTCCGCTGGGGCCGCCTTGGGGGCTGGGGAAGGGCGCTGAGCCACCAGGAGCCCACAGCCAGCAGCCAGCCAGCCCCTCGCTCGCTGTTCCGTCGTGTCCTCTCTGCACCCCCCAAGGAGTCGCGCACGAGCCGCCTCCGGCTATCCAAGACCCTCTGGGGGAGGCAGAAGAGCCCACCGCAGGACTCAGAGCCAGAGGCCCCAGGTACATGGCTCCCCCACCCAGGCTGGGACGCCGGATGCTTGGGTTTTGTCTGCCTCCGGAGCATCAGCCCTACAGACACAGGAAGTCGTGGGGAGTGTGAAAGCCCAGCAGGAAGTGGCGGGGGCCCAGCTGCCCTCTTCCTTCTTCCCCTCACCAGGGCCCGGGGAGGGGGCAGCAGGGGATCCAGCCTGCGGAAGGGGCAGAGAACAGGCTGAGGGTGGCACTGTCCAGATCAAAATGGCTCTCGGCCCCACCAGGCCTCTCCTCACATCCAGTGGGCCCAGGCCCATCCTCTTCTGCCTGGATGTCCATCTCAGCCACCACCTGCTCTCCTGCCCTCCAGCCTCCATGTCTTAGTTTCTTCACCTCCTTCAGCCTCAGCTTCCACATCAGTTAAATGGGAATCATGAACCCTGCTTGAAGGGTATATCATCTTTTCTTTCTTTCTTTCTCTCTTTCTCCCTTTCTCTCTTTCTCTCTCTCTCTCTCTCTTTCTCTCTTTCTTTCTTTCTTGTCTTCCTTTCTTTGCTTTCATTCATTCATTCATTCCAGCAGAGCTCTGTTGAGCATCTACTGTGAGCCAGGCCCTGACTTAGGCACTGAGGACACAGCAGGGGACAAAGCAGCTGTGACTCCCTGTCCCGTGCAGCTGACAGTGTAGGGGGCATGACAGAGAGTAAACAAGGTGACAGGTGAGGCTGTGTCACACAGAGGGATCTAGAAGGGGGAGGGACATCCAAGGATTAGAGCTCAGAACGAGCACTAGCCCAGGACCAAGCATACTTTAAGCAATCCGTTAATAGGTGGGAGTTATCATTTCTCCCCAGGTGGTAAATGACAGGACAGACAGGTAATCTGGGAGGGTTGGTTCAGCCCTTCTGTTCCTGGAAACTCATTTAATTCTCACTGTTCATATCCCCATTTTGCAGACGCTCCCCTTCAACCACCCCACCCCCCACCCAGGGTATCAGGTATTGCCCACTCCATAGGATCCAGAGAGAACTCTCTAATAAGAAGACTTGCTCCTCCCCTGCTCAAACACATCACATGGCTCCCACTTCCCCCAAGACAAAACCCCATCTCCTCTAACCCACACCCAAGGACCTTCCCCTCTAGCCTATGAGCCCTCCAAACCCTTCTTCCCCTCTCCTTTATTTGTCTGGACCTTTTCATCTCCCAGTCTTTGCTCAAGCTGTTGTCAACGTCCCCACCATCTCTGTTTGTCAAAATGCAATCCGCTGTTCAAGACCCAGCACAAACTCACTCTCTGGGAGGCCTTTCCTGACCCGCCACACCACCACCTCCCCCTATCGTGAACTTTTTCTATTCCTTTCTCAAGTTTCAAGTATTTTCCACCTTGGACTAGTTATTTTTGTAAGGAACCAAGGCTGCTGTCCTGTTGTTTAACTTCTTGGACTACCCACTGTCTTGGTTAAGAGAATACTTGTGTCTGAAGCCCAGCTCAACCACTCACAAGTTGTGCGACCCTGGGCAACTCACTCAACCTCTCTGGGTTTCCCTGTCCTCCCTGGTCAAATGAGGGTTATAGTAGCCCTTTGAGTGGCGTTTGGAGGATTACATGAAAGAAGGCACATGGAGCAGTAAATACAGTGCAGAGCACACAGTCAGTGGGCTGCAACCACTACCCTTGGCCCCTGGAGACAAGGCCCAGAGAAGGATGGAGACTTGTCCAACAACAGCCTCACATGGCTGCTGCGGGGTAGGGGGGAGGAGGGCCTAGGGAGGGAACCCCCAGTGAGCCTTGGTGAGTGGAGAGGGTGGTCTGAGGGAGAGGAAAGGGCTCCCAGGTCCCCAGCACCTCCTCCTCTACCCAGAGCCCGAGCCCGAGCCGGAGGCCCCCGCCCCACAGATCCCTGAGGCCCCCACACCCGATGTGCCCATCTGGAACATTGGGGCCTTCACTCTGCTCGATGGCAGGCTGGTGCTGCTGGGTGGTGAGGAGGAGGTAAGAGGGAGGACATGGGCGAGGGGAGGGGAGAGGATGGGGGGAAAGGAAAGGGGTCTCCGTCTCCCTCTGTCTGCCTGCCTCCCCTTCCTGACAACCCACCGCTGTTGGGAACAGGGTCCTCGCTGCTCACGGGTTGGGAGTGCTAGCTCTGAGGGCAGCATCCAGGCGGCCATGGGGAACCTCAGGGATCCAGGTAAGCTTGAGGTGGGTAGGGCTGGGGCACTGGGGAGCCTGCTCAAGCTGGGGCAGAATCCAAGATGATCCATCCCCCAACCTTCCACACCCGACCACCCACAGATCGGACTCCTGGAAAGACCGAGGCAGAGGCTGCTGGCCCCAACCAGGTCCACAATGTTCGGGTAAGGCATAGGAGCTGGGGGAGTGGAAGGGAGAGCAAAAACTCCCAGACCCTCAGAGGTGAAAAAAGACTCCTACTGGGTGATCTTGGGCAGGTCACTGACCCTCTCTGGGTCTCAGTGTCCATATGTCAAATGGAGCTAATGAGAGAGACTCCCCCTAGGGGTTGTTTATAAGTCAACAGAGAATGTAGGAAAGCACACAATTCGTGCTTTAGAAATGGGAGGTGTTGGTTGCCTTTGCTATTCCTGCTCATACAGCCTGACCTTGTGGTCCCCCAAGACCAGCAGATGCTCCAGGACACCCTGGGGGTAAAGGAGCTGAGGAGGGAGCATGGAGTTCTGCCCCGCTGACATCCTCCTCCCCACAGGGGTTGCTCAAGCGACTGAAAGAGAAGAAAAAGGCCAGGTCGGAGCTGGGAGCCAATGCCTCCCGGGATGGGTAAGGGTCTCTGAAGGGCTGAGGGTCTGAGAGTCAACATTGCCCCCTCCCCCTCCTCCTGCCTATCATCCCAACCTTCACCAAATACCCCCTGCGGCCCCCTCCCTGTCCTGCCCCATACTGGGCAAGGCTGGGACCACTGGAAGACTCCAGCACGGAGCCAGCCCTCCGTCCCGTCGAGGTGGGTAGGGGGGGCAGAGTCTGATACAACAACTTTAAAACAGGAGCTAAGTCAACATCCTGGTCTGGGAGTGTCAGGGAACGGACTCTTGAGCTGAGATCTAAAGGACGGCTGGAAGTCCACTAGGCCAAGAGGTGCAGGAAAAGCATTCCAGGCAGAGGGAACAGCAAGTGCAAAAGCCAAGAGGCAGGATGAAGCGATAAAAACAAAGCCAGTGTGACTGGAATTCACACAGTGAGGGATTAAGTGGAAGGAAACGAAGTCAAAAGGTCACAAGGGCTGTACTAGGCTAGGTCATGCAGGCCACCACGAGGAGCTGGGTTTATCCTAAAAGCGATCCGTTCCAGGCCAATTTAAGTTCAGGTCCATCCTGGCCTCCCTCCACCCTTCAGGCTGTAGGGGAGGAGGAGGAATGACTGCTTGTTCACCGCCCCCTCCCCAGACCCCCCAGTGCTCTGGGCTCTCGGGAATCGCTGGCCACACTCTCCGAGCTGGACCTGGGCGCCGAGAGGGAAGTGCGGGTCTGGCCTCTGCACCCCAGCCTCCTGGAGGAGCCGCACTGCTTCCAGGTAAGTGCAGGCAACTCTGGACCCCGCCCGGACCCTCCAGCTCCACCCGTGGCCTCAGCCACACCCTTTGATCCCCCCGGAACAGGTAACGTGGGCGGGCGGGAGCCGCTGTTTCTCCTGTCGCTCGGCCGCTGAGAGAGACCGCTGGATCGAGGACCTTCGTCGCCACTTCCAGCCCAGCCAGGTCAGTACAGCGGCAAGTCGGACCTGCAGGCCCCGCGGCTTCTACCCAACCCAAACGCCGCCCGCGCCATCACCCAGCGCCGTAGACACACCTGCCCCCTACAGCTTTGCAACCACTCCCAGACCCTCCCCCGCTTCCATCTATTACGACGATGGAACCACGACCTCGTCCTTTCTATTCAATCCGGGCCCAATTTGTACCCAAAGTCCGCCTGCTAGGCAGCCGCCAAGTCCCCACCCCGCGGCTACTCCACACCCTGGAGCCCCGATCTCTCCGGAGAGCCCAAAGAAGCTAGAGGGCTTCCGCACAGCCACCTTGGGACCTCCGTGGCCCCACTCACTTCCCCCAAGGGCCCCGCGCTTCACCTCTTGTGCCCAGCGTCGAGCACTGACGCCTCCCCTCCCTCCCTCCCTCCCTGCCTCCCACTCCGCTCCGTAGGACAACCTGGAGCGGGAAGAGACGTGGCTGAGCGTGTGGGTGCACGAGGCAAAGGGGCTGCCCCGGGCCGCGGCGGGGGCGCCGGGCGTGTGCGCCGAGCTTTGGCTAGACGGCGCGCTGCTGGCGCGCACGGCGCCGCGGGCGGGGCCGGGCCAGCTCTTCTGGGCCGAGCGCTTCCACTTCGAGGCGCTGCCGCCGGCACGACGGCTGTCATTGCGGCTGCGCGGCGCGGGCCCGGGTGGCCCGGTGCTGGGCCGCGCGGCGTTGGCCCTGGAAGAGCTGAGCGTCCCCCGCGCGCCCGCCGCCGGCCTGGAGCGCTGGTTCCCGCTGCTTGGGGCGCCCGCGGGCGCGGCGCTGCGGGCGCGGATCCGGGCGCGGCGCCTGCGCGTGCTGCCGTCCGAGCGCTACAAGGAGCTGGCGGAGTTCCTCACTTTCCACTACGCGCGCCTCTGCGGGGCGCTCGAGCCCGCGCTGTCCGCGCAGGCCAAGGAGGAGCTGGCGGCGGCCATGGTGCGCGTGCTGCAGGCCACCGGCAGGGCGCAGGTGCGGCGCCGCGACGGGGCGGACCTGGGGGCTGGAGGCGCACCGAGGGCGCGCCCCGGCGGGGTGGGGGCAGGGCAGGACCCTAGGGGCACCTGCGAGGGGCGGGGCACCTCGAGGGGCGGGGCCTGGGCTTCAGCTGCGGGCGCGGGGCTAGCAGGAGCTTCTGCTGCAAGGGGTGGAGGTTCGGCCTGTTAGGAACAGTGAGGGCAGAGCCTGAGCAGCAGCTGTGAGGGGCGGGACCCGCGCCCCAGGTTGAGTGACGGCCAAAGGCAGGGATTACCCCGACCCCCGGGTTCAGTCGGCTCCCCGCGCGACTTGACGCCCGCTATGCCCAGGCACTGGTGACAGACCTGGGCACCGCGGAGCTGGCGCGCAGTGGAGGCCGTGAGGCGCTGCTGTTTCGGGAAAACACGTTGGCCACCAAGGCCATCGACGAATACATGAAGCTGGTGGCACAGGATTACCTCCAAGAGACTCTGGGTGAGCCGGGGGTGCGTGTCGGAAGCCCGCTGGGAGCGCTAGGGGGCCCCAGGGGAGATCCAGGAGTTCCTAGGGAACCTGGATTCTGGTAGCGGGTGGTGCCTTGGGATTCCAGGGTCCTGGAGGGAACCGGGCTCCCCAAGATGTTAGGTGCCTCCGGAGTCAGCTGCAGAGATCCGAAGCTGGGTGTGGTGGGCTCTGGCAGTCATGGCCCTCGCCCGTCTGGCTGTCCTGGACTGCAGGGCAGATCGTGCGGCGTCTCTGTGCCTCCTCTGAGGACTGTGAGGTGGACCCCAGCAAGTGCCAATCCGCAGAGCTACCCCAGCACCAGGCGAGACTGCAAAACAGCTGTGAGGAGGTCTTCCAGAGCATCGTCCGCTCCCACGAGTGAGCATCAGGGCTCAGCCCCTGAGTCCCCCCGCCTCTCAGCCTTTGCTAATAACCCTGCTCCCAAGTAGGGTTGCAAGATAAAATACAAGATGCCCAGTTAAATGTGATGTGATATTTGGGACATACTTATGTGAAAAAAATTATTCATTTTTTTTAGCTGAAATTCAGGTTTAACTGTCCTGAAGTTTTATTTGCTAAATCTGGCAACCCATTCCCAATGTCGTGTCAACTTGTAGTTCCTGATCCCAAATAACCTGAGACCCAGTTCCTTGTCCTTTAACTACAAGTGACCCCATACCTTAATTTCATGCCACCTGACCCCAGTTAGCATAGGAACTCAATCCTATGAACTCTGATTCCAGGTGATGCCATACCCCCAATCCATGACCCAGACCTTAAGTGACCCTATACCCCAAATCTCATGTAACTGATCACAGGAAACCTAGGATTTCAATTCCTTCACCTCTGACCCTAGGTTAAACTGTATCCCTGATCCCATGACACCTGGGACATCAATGCCATGACTTCTGAACCTAGGCAGCCCTGTAACCCCAATCTTGTCCTACTTCATACTAAGTACTCTGTCTGGCACCCTAGTCTCATGCCTAGATATAGCTATATCCCAAGCTTGTGGCCTCTGTCCCCATGTGAACCTGTGCCCCAGTTACAAGGTTGCTGACTCCAGAGGTCACCACAGTAACTACACCATAAACCCTGACTCCAAGCAGATCTCTAACCCCAAGCATCATTTTCCCTGATGTCTCCAATCCTGGAACCCAGAATGCAGGTGACTCCTGACCCCTGACCTTAGGACTTTGACCATCCATGACCTTTATGCCCATATTCTCCCCCCTTCTGACCATTGCCTCTTCCACCCCAGCTGGTTTCCAGCTGAGCTGGGCACCGTGTTCTCCGGCTGGCGAGAAGCATGCAAGGCACGTGGCTCTGAGGCGCTGGGCCCTCGACTGGTGTGTGCCTCTCTCTTCCTGCGGCTCCTGTGTCCTGCCATCCTGGCACCCAGCCTCTTTGGCCTGGCACCAGAGCACCCAGCACCTGGCCCAGCCCGCGCCCTCACGCTGATCGCCAAGGTCATCCAGAACCTCGCCAACCGTGCCCCGTAGGTGCTGGGAGGCTGGGGGGCCATGCTGGGGCCATGGGGGTGGCAGGTGCCTGACCTGACCACCCAGGTGGGCCCTGACTCAGGTTTGGTGAGAAGGAGGCCTACATGACCTTCATGAATAGCTTCCTGGAGGATCATGGACCAGCCATGCAACGCTTCCTGGACCAAGTAGCCATGGTGGATGTGGATGCGGCACCCAGTGGTTACCAGGGCAGCAGTGACCTGGCCCTCCAGCTTGCGGTCCTGCATGCACAGCTTTGTACCATCTTTGCTGAACTTGACCAGGTGTGGCCTGAGCCCACAGCCCAGGACATGGGGTAAGGAGGCAAGAGGGCAGCAGCCTTTGGCCCTGCAGATCTTGCTCAGCATCCTCCCTGCTTGCCTCGCCAGGCGACTCGTGACAGCCTGGAACCGCTGCCCACCATCCTGCATGCCATTGAGGAGGGCCGGCCTGTGCCTGTGTCTGTGCCGATGCGCCTCCCACCACCCCCGGCCCAGGTCCACTCCAGGTAACCTGCCTGCTTCAAGTCTGGTCCAGTTGTGCTGGGTGAGAGCAGGGGCAAGGCCAAAGGCAAGCACAGGGTCAGACCGGGGTCAGAGGTGGAGACAGGATCACGTCAAGAGTCACGGGCAGGGTCACACTGAGGTCAGTGTCAGAAGCAGTGTTGGAGGAGGTCATCAAAGGGATCAGGGAGAGACTTACAGCGTGGTCAGAGGGCAGGCACAGGGTCAGATTGGAGTCCAAGGTGGAGATTGGTCATTGCAGAGGTCAGAGAGAAGTTACATCTGGATTCAGAGAGAGAAAGTGACATGTGGTCAGCAATGAAGGGCAAATTTCAGTGAGAGGTTATGGATGGGGTCAAATCAGGGGTAACATTGGGGTCAAATGTTAAGATGCACATCAAGGGTCTAAGACAGGTTTATATTGTAAGCAGAGGTCAGGCCCAAGGTCAGATGAGGCCAAAGCTTATAGGCAGAGTCATATTTGGGATCATAAGTCACGGACCATGGTCTATCGGGGGCAGAGACAGGGTCAGTTTAAGGTCAGAGATTGGGGACAAGAGGGCGTCAGATTGGGAAGGAAGAAGCTACCCTTGTGAGCAGAGGTCAAGCCCAGGGTCAAATTGGAATCAGAGGTTACAGAGAGGGTCAGGTCAAGGGTCACACTGTGTCAAAGGTCAGGGACAAGGCTAGAGAGGAGTCAAAGATTAGATTGGGGTCATATCAAGGGCCATAGAGAGGACAGTCTTGTCAGAAGTCCAGGACAATGTCAGAGGTCAAAATGTTATCCCATCAGTGACAATGTCACATAGAAGTAGAAGATCAGGGGTGGGGTCATTTCTGGTCAGAGGTAGGGATGGTATCAGCTCAGGGGCCAGCGGAGTGTCTGAGCTCCCCCATCCCACCCCCAGCTTCTCTGCAGGGGAGAAACCCGGCTTCCTGGCCCCTCGGGACCTCCCCAAGCACACCCCTCTCATTTCCAAGAGCCAGTCCCTGCGCAGCGTCCAGCGCGCAGGGAGTTGGGCCCGGCAGCGGCCAGACGAGGAGAGACCCCGGAGGCTGCCCAGGCCGGTGCAGCGCACGCAGAGCGTCCCGGCTGGCCGCCCCACTCGCCGCCGCCCGTCTGCAGGGCCCAGGCCGCGACCCCAAGGCTCCGTACGCACGGGCCCCGTGCCCCGCGGCCGGCCCTGGACCGGAGCCTCGGCCTCGCTACCACGGAAGCCATCGGTGCCCTGGCAGCGCCAGCTGGACCAGCCACGAGACAGAGACCAAGCGCTGGGCACGCACCGACCTATGGGCAAGGTGAGATACAGCCCAGATCCCCATACAGAGGGAAGAGACAGGACTGGAAAAAGACTGAAAGCCAGGCAGGTCTCGGTTCAAATACCGAGCTCGCGGCGTTGTGTGACCCTGGACCCAGCACAACCCTCTCTGAGCCTCAGTTTCCTCCTCTGTAAAACGAGAGCGCTGTTCCCCCAACGGAGCATGGCGGTGAGGAGGCAGGGCGCAAGGGGCAGGAAGGTCAGGGTCTTTGGGGAGCAGGGGTGGGACGGCGGATCAGGTTACAGCTGCTCCCTCCCCACAGCTGGCAGAGCTGCAGTGCGAGGTGGCCGCGCTGCGCGAAGAACAGAAGACGCTGTCCGGCCTGGTGGAGTCGCTGAGCACCGACATCCGGGCGTTGACCGAGCAGCAGGAGCAGCTTCGGGGCCAGCTGCAGGAGCTGGACTCCAGGCTCCGTGAAGGGTGAGCACCGCCCTCTCCATTCGCTCCGCCCCCGCGTGGGCCCGCTGTAATCGGATCGGCGCAGGCCCCTGCCAGTCAGTCCCACGCAAATCACTCGGGGTGTGGCCACGCCCCCTCTGCCGTCCCGCCCCAACACACCTGTGTAGGCCCCGCCTCTTGGTCAGCTCCTCCCGACCGCCCGCAGGTGAGCCCACCCCGGCTCTCTGGCAGGTCCTCCAGTTCGGGCCCCACCCCTCCACCAACCTCCCGGGAACAGGCTGGGACACGCCCCCTCTCTGTCTGGGCACGCCCCTACCCGGGTCACGCCCCGACCAGGGACCGGCCAAGCCCCGCCTCCAAGAGTTGGTTGGTCCTTTCCTCCCAGCCGTTCAAAGCTCTGCTTCGGCGCCTTCTTCAAACTGATCTAGGCCCCGCCCTCCAGCCCGGACAAGCCCCGCCTCCACCTCAAGCCCCGCCCCCTGAACCCCTGACTCTCCAACCAGGAGCTGGAGGGGAGTTCCTCAGCATCTGACCCTCCCCCTTGTCCCTGATCCCTACAGGACGTCGCAGTTGGATCCGGGGCACCATCCTCCAAGCAGTGAGGACCACCGGCTGAAAAGTCTGGTGAGACCCTGCCTGAGCCCTGGGGCAGACCTGGGCTAAGTGAGGGGAGAGGGTTGGGCTGCAACCTTCACCTGGCTGGGAGCCCAGTGCCGCTCCCTCCCCAGGAGCGCCGCCTAGCGGAGCTGGAGAATGCTCAGGTCCAGCTGAGGGATGCCGTCCAGAACCTGCAGCTTCTTCCCAGGACATCAGGATCCCGGAGCCAGCCCCTAGCCCTCAAAGCACCATGCGTCAACGGAGACACCACCTGAGCTGCCCAGGCGGTCCCACGTGGTCTGGGAACAGAGAGAGAGCCCTCTTAGGGGTCTGTCCGAGCCCTGCCTCAGCCCAGCGTGGCCTCCAGTGGGGAGTGGAGCTTTAGGTGCTAACCAGTCTAGCACCATGAGGTTGCCCAGTAAAATCTTGATTTCAGTAAAATTGATGGTTTTTTTGCCTCGAAGTGTTGCCAGTCACAAGGCACCCCTCCAGCATTCAGCTCTCCCGAATTCTCCCCTAATTGGCAGTCTCAGGGAGAGCCCATGTAAGGAGACTTTCGCCAGGGGTGTGACCTTAGGCCTTGACCCTCTCAGAGCCTCCATCTCCTCATCTGTAAACTGAACCTCAAGTTCTTACACAGTACAAGACCCATAGTTTAAAGTGTTCCATAAAAGGTATTCTTCATTGCTAGGGGCAGTGCCTGCTTCTCAATGGAGCCCAGATCCCACCTACACTAACCCCCCACCCCCCGGCCCCAGATGAGAGCATCTCCCTAGGCCCCCAGTCCCCACACCAGCTCCCTCATGGCAGGGAGGGCGTGGGTCCAGGAGGCAGAGGAAGGAAGGGGCAGGTGGGTGTGGAGATGGGTGAGCTCTGTGGGTGTTGGTTGGGTAAGTGAGTGGGCATTTGAATTATGGGTGAGTGGATGGGTGAAGAGTGGGCTGGATGGGACAATAGGTGATGACTAGGTTGACATTTGCTGGATGTGGCCCTGGTGGATAAGTAAGTAAGTGGTTAGCTGGAATGGATATGTCTGCCTAGAAAAGGCCTAGATCATAGTAGGAAATAAATACCTGAATTCATTGAGTACACGGTTATATATATTGTATGTACATTTGTTGAAGTCTCCTGAGACTCTTGAGCTGGGCAGTGGAAAAACATTAAGGAACTAGGCAGAAGACAGGACTCGTGTCCTTATGGAGCTTATACTGTAGTGGAGGAGACAAACAAGGAAATGTGCAATTGATGCATGGATGTCTGGGTGGCTGGGTGGAAGCAGGTGTGTAGGGATGGGGGAATGCTTGCTTGGTCATATGGATAAGTGAGTATTTACTTGGGTCGTGGGCAGGTGGGCAGGTAGATGGGACATGGGTGGGTGGGTTGAATGGGTGTTCAGATGGGTGGATGGGTGTGGGGATTTGGGAGGGTGGCTAGCTGGCTGACAGGATCAGATGTTGGTTGAGTCGTGGATGGAGTAGGTAGATGGGAGGTGGATGGTGTTTTGAGTGGGTGTTTGGATGGATGGATGGGTGGGTGGGTGGGTGGATAGGTGGTTGGAGGGGGTGGATGGATAGGTGGTTAGTTGATTGGGTAGATAGATGAGTGGTCGATTGAGTGAGTGTGTGGATGAATGGGTGGGGAGATGCATGGGTGGTTGGATGTGTAGATGGGCGGTAGATGTAAGAGAGCAGCCGGCTTATCCTGAGTGCATGATGGGGTACTCCTAGAGGCTGCGATCCTGGGGGTTGGGGGGAGAAGGAGGGCTTAGTATTGGGGACCTAGGGCAGCCCTAGAGGCATGGAGGTGCTGAAGTCCAGTGTGGATAATGCGAAAGGAGGGAGTACACTTGTGGTTGGAAGGTAGCTGATTGGGAGCAAGGGACTGAAGATTGGCTGGGTGGAGTCTTTAATGACCTATGGATGGTCCATGGGGGAACTTCTCTGCCCCCTCCCCACTCTTCTGGTGCTATTAGTCGGCCTAGCATTGGAAGAACAGTGGGGTGATGAGGAGCCATTGGGGGCAGGAGGACAAGAGTGTTGTCATGGAAACAGAGCCTCTCCCTGGACTCTCAGGCCGCGCGGGCCCTTTAAGGGTGACCCGCCTGGCCACTCCCAACATGGCGGCGCGCCCGCTGGCCGGCCTCCCCGGGGGGGCTGTAGGGGGGGAGGGGGTGCCCCAGACCTCCCCATCATGGCGGCGCGGCGGGGCTGTCGCGCTGAGGTCACGGCGGCGCGCCGGGGGGGCGGGGCGGCGGGGGGGAGCGATTTAAAGGGACAATGTCCCCCAAGCGGTGGAGGCGGCGGCGGCTGCGGAGGCCGCGGCACCGGCACCGGGAGCGGCAGCGGCGGTAGCGGCAGCGACGGCCGCACCGAGGAGGGGAGCTCCGAGCCCCGGTGCCCGACCGGCGACGCCGCCTCCCCGGTGAGGCCCGGCCCGGCCTGGGGAGCCCGCGGGCGGGGCGGAGCCGGCGCGGGGAGGGGGAGGCCGGGGCCGGGCCGGGCCAGGCGGGACCCCCCAGAGCGGGGGGCGGGGGCGGGGCTTGTAGGGGCGGGGGCC